ACTGGGTAGTAGCCACCCACAGAGATCTCTTGTAGACTCACAATTTCATTGAGAAATGTATCCTTCTAGAATTATAAATCTAGAAGTGGGATTGAACTTATTGTTTCCTACATTTAAAAATCCAGCACATGACTTCAATTAATTAAAAAAAATTACATTGGTAGAGCAATTACTCAAATTAAATAGTTTGATAATTTTTTCCCCCTAAATTTACAATGTGCATTTTCAAGCACTTTATAAACTGCTAATGATATACAAGGAAGCCCATTGTTGCAAGAATCTGAAACTAGTAGATGGGGTTGAGCTAGACAATAAACAAGTAAGTGAACGTAATTTCACATAAAGATAGATATAATATAGATAAATATAAATATAATTTCATATAAAGGAAACAAAACTAGATAATGGCCTTGGGAGAAAATGTACATGTGTGTGATTCTGTTGAGTGCTACTTTGCTATAGAGTCAGAGAATGCCCACATTTGCAGGTGAATCTTTTCCTAACAGACAGAATGAACCACAGGATTAATCTTGTAAATAAGTAGTTAATGATTCACTAATCAGACGCTTCAGTTTTAGATTTGGGTAATAGCGATACCTGAGTACCACGCACTAAAAATTTCCAAACAACTCCTGTGTCATATTTCTCAGTGACTGGAAAGAAAAGGAAAGGAAAACAAAGCAAAGCAACAGAACCCACTAAGACCCCTCTCCCTAGCAGACTGTAATAGAAAAGAACAAATCTGACTGCATACTAGGACTGTTCCTTTGGCTTTAACCCTGTGCCCTGTCTTCCAGGCTAGGCTCTGCACCTTTTATAAAAGAATGTTGCCTTTAGCCTGAAATATACAGGAGAGCCTATTCTCAAGGCTTTGACCTTTAAAGATATTAGCTCTTTTGCACTTACATAAAGATAACAAGTTGCAGAATAGAAAATAACATTTGTTTTGTTGGAGGTTTTCCAGGGGCAGGTGACCTAACCCACGTGGACAGCTTCCTACACCAAGAAGTTTGCAACAACCAACCACAACTCCCCCCTCTTTTTAGTATAAAAGGAGCCTGTATTCTGACTTGGGGAAGATGGTTCTCCAAGACATTAAGTCTATCATCTTCTCGGTTTGCTGGCTTTCTGAATAAAGTCGCTATTCCTTGCCCCAACACCTCATCTCTTGATTTATTGGCCTGTCGTGCGGCGAGCAGAACGAGTTTGGACTCGGTGACAAATTAGAAGGCAGAGCTGTG